GCACTAGATTGATATACAACAAGATATGTGTGAGCATTCATTGCAACATTTACTTAAGAGTTATAATTTTACTAAATCTGATGGAAGATTAGATAATTTAAGTCTATATATCTCTTTTGGTTTATTCAATTTGAATATTACTTTTGCAATAAAGATACCCTAGTTTTGAAACATTAGCAGCAATTTCATTTCAAAAAGATCAGTTTTCAACTTCGTAAGTTTTGTTCATAAGATGTGTATTCAACATAGGTCAAAAGTCAGGGTAATTTCAAGTTTAAAATATCAATATCTAGGATAGTTGGCATTTTAAGACATTTTGCCGATGGTGTGACCATTCACAACCGATGATTATGTGACCTGAGGTAAAGATCAACTGAATGGGTGTAGGTAACTTCAAGGTGATGTTAACTTTGACATGTTTCATTAGTCAAGATACACAATTCATATACAAGGTAAACAGATTTTATAAACATGTGTCTTTATCAAAAAAATATGGCAGTCATTTTTTGTACTTTTTATTTAATATAGCGTCGCCTTAAAGAAATCAAATATAACAATAGATTCAGACGGGGATGTGAGCTGATGTTCTTCAAATCTATACATAAAGGTATATTTCATATTATTATGCCATATTTACTGTGCGTGTGACACAATGATTTACAATATTTATAATACTAAGGCAGCTCAATCTTCCTCCTCAGAGCCGGAATATAGAGAAGGCTTTGGACCGAAGTAAATCTGGCCAATATCTGTGGTTTCAGAAATGAAACTCAAATTATCCAAGGCAAGACTTAGCTCTTATTTCATGTCGAATTCAGGTTGGTTTTTCAGCACACAACATTAGACACATATTGTAGTTTGTAGTGGTAATAAACTCTATGCAATCAAACTTCATAATACCTCATTTTCCTCAAAATCTTCCCAACTGTCTAAGATTTCATCTTCTCCATCCATTGTAGCTGCACGTTGTACGCAAACTCACTTTAACATTAATATGAGTCGACCCAATCTGCAGATTTCACTAAACCGTGCAGACACAACAAAACATTAGAAGATGGTACCAGGCCCCTCCTGGTTTAGATCAATTCTTATGCATGATTATGAATAGAAATGAGCAAATATTATGTTTATATGCACTGTTGGTCACTGTGTTACGATTTTGGTAGCACTTGCAGATATATTCCCTGAATTATTCTCACCTTTCTATTTAACATGGCGAGGATGGTACCAGGCCCCTCCTGGTTTAAATCAATTCTTATGCATATTTATGATTAAAAATGAGCAAACATTATGTTCATATGAACTATTGGTCGATGTGCTACGATTTTGGTAGCCCTTGCAGATATATTCCCTAAATTATTGTCACCTTTATATTTAACATGGCGAGGATGGTACGAGGCCCCTCCTGGTTTAAATCAATTCTTATGCATATTTATGATTAAAAATGAGCAAATATTATATTTATATGTACTGTTGGTCAATGTGTTATGATTTTGGTAGCCCTTGCAGATATATTCCCTCGACTATTGTCACCTTTATATTTAACATGGCGGGGATGGTATCAGAGGCCTAATTCATGAAAGCTCCGCAAGCCTGCACAATTCCGCAAATCACTGCGGTACCGGTGTTTCCAATTCACAAAGGGACCGCAAAGTCAGCATCACCGCAGATATCTTGCGGTACTGCGAGAATTGCGTCATTATCGTGTAATGAATCCTCTTGAAAAAACACTTAACATTACCTTTCAGTGATGGTAATATGTACATGTGTAAACCTTGTATTGTCCTTTTATCAGGTTAAGTTTCAAAATAAAAAAATAAAAAATTGAACGTGATATAGACGTTCAAATATGGATGTAAAAGCAACCTGTGCAGAGTATGTTTTAAAGATTTTTAAAGTTGCGGAACACCGCAACTTTAAGGCTAGTTTGTATGTTCGGAATTTCGCTGCAATCCTCAATAAACAGTCATGTTGAGTAACTGAGTCAACATTCGAAAATAAAAATCGTACATCTTTGAAGGGGATTTCTTGAAAAATCGTTCGAATTTTCACAAAAGTTTTCATGCAATTTCATTGCTTTGTTTAACCCTCAACTAATATCATACTCAAAACCGAGACCATTATTATAAATTAAAATGAAACATTAAACTCACCAGGTTATATGATAAACCATTTCGAGAATTGATGATTTGAGTTAACTGTGGATATTTATACAAGTTGTATTAATGTAAGTCGGCATGTATTCGACAGTTATTGTACACACATGATGTATGCATCAACATGTGACTTAAATATCAATTCGTGACTATCATATTTGGCTTTCAAAAATTAAGTTGGAAGTTACAGTAATAGGAGATTAACTAAAACGTTAATCACATCCAAATATCTGAACGTCAAGTATTAACAATACACTTTTCGTGCATCTCGAACAAGGCAAGGTTCTGTGATCAAGCAATGTGTATTCTGAAAGAAAGAATTCACAAATATCAACAAATTTCATGGAGTAGGAGATTACATTCGAAATCACAACTTTCAAAATATTTGTGTTAACCAAGAATTGTAAGAACTTGAAACATGATGTTAGATCTTTTGAAGTAGGGGTATACAGGGACATATCAGAAATTCAGAAATTTAGGCCATATCCCCAAGATTGCTTCACCAATATGTAACAGAACATCGAAATTATCATTTACATGTTTGCTGATAGGTTTTTGAAAATAATTAACCAGAGGTTTACTTCAATTGTGGCACCATTCTTAGTAAATATTGATGAACATACGAATATCCAATGTTGACTAAGTTACTTGACTTGACCGTAAAGTCATATGTTATTTTTCAATTAGGAATCACTCCTTCATCACATTCATTGTCTTTATTTTCAGTTTTGCACAAAAAGTGCACTAATGTACCTAGAAAAAACATAACATTTAACATATTAATATTGATAACATTTAATATGTTTTATGTTTTTATACACTATTTGTATATGTGTTATGATTTGGCATCCCTTGCAATATGTATTTGCATAATTATTGTTACCTTTTATTTCCTATTATTTTAACATGGCTTGGATGGTAATAGGGCCCTTTTCATTTAATTCAATTCGTAGACTTGTACCATCCTCGCCATGTTAAATATAAAGGTGACAATAATTTAGGGAATATATCTGCAAGGGCTACCAAAGTCGTAGCACATCGACCAATAGTTCATATAAACATAATATTTGCTCATTTTTATCATAAATATGCAAAAGAATTGATTTAAAGCAGGAGGGTCCTCATACCATCCTCACCATGTTAAATATAAAGGTGACAATGATTTAGGGAATATATCTGCAAGGGCTGCCAAAATCGTAACACATCGACCAAAAGTGCATATAAACATAATATTTGCTCATTTTTAATTATAAATACGCATAAGAATTGATTTAAAGATGTTAATTTAAGAGCAGAAAAGGCTCCAAAACTTAATGAAATATGTAGTTTGGATGTTCATTTATGTCTGTGGATTATATTTTATACCACAAACACTTTATAAATACCTGAATTTTGCAATAAAAGTGCCCAAAAATTGTTGTTTCGAAATTCCCCATTTTTCCTGTATCGCGCTAGTCACGTGACCATTACGCGTAGCAGGCAATGTACAGATATTACAGTACATATAATATGTTCAATATGGCAAACATCAGCGATTCTGATTCCCGGGTTCTGGAAAATGGCTATATAAATCGGCGAGAGGGTGTAATTTGAATGAAGACAATTTAAGGAGGGGAAATCTAGACGCGGAAAACAGATTATGAAAACAGGTTTTCTGCAAAGACTGCAAAGACTACAAGACTTGGCGCTATCTCTTGTCAAATACATGCACTGGACTTGTAGTAAATTGGCCATTGCAAATTGCAAAATCAGATCGTCAAATTAATCGCTTCGTTTTTAAACCTACGCTTCATATCTTCTTCCAAAACTTTAGGATTCGATAGAGATAAGTTATAACTTGTACAGGAAAAAATGGCAGATCCTACCTTAATTTAGAATCGCTGATTTCTCTGGACAAATTCCGAGAAGAAATTGTTCAACATCGCGATCACCTCAGACAACATGTCGCGTGCGTGTCACTCTGAACTCACGTGATAAAATACGGCATCTTGATTGGTTACTACTCGTGTTGTCATGATGCGAAAAGCAGTAGTAAACACTGAATATGTTAATGAACTGCCATATATGGAACAATTGTCTTTCTGATTGGTTAACTTTACACGCATCCTAAATGAATATAGTAGTCGTAGTAAATGATTCATTGATTACTCTGAAAGTGGGCGTGACCAGCTTCATTTTGACACCAAATTCAAGATGTTTCAAATCAAAATGGCCTCGCAAGACGAGGTTGAAATATCAGCAATTTGATACTGATATGGTCTACGATAGATCAAAATTGCCTGCCCCGCGTCACATGTCATGTATTTTTGCAAAACCTTTGCTATTAGATCTTTAAACCAGGAGGGGTCTCGTACCATCCTCGCCATGTTAAATATAAAGGTGACAATAATTTAGGGAATATATCTGCAAGGGCTACCAAAATCGTAGCACATCGACCAATAGTTCATATAAACATAATATTTGCTCATTTTTCATCATAAATATGCATAAGAATTGACCAAAATCGTAACACATCGACCAATAGTTTATATAAACATAATATTTGCTCATTTTTCATCATAAATATGCATAAGAATTAACCAAAATCGTAACACATCGACCAATAGTTTATACAAACATAATATTTGCTCATTTTTAATCATAAATATGCATTAGAATTGATTTAAACCGGGAGGGGCCTCGTACCAACAGTGCATATAAACCGGGATATAAATATAATATTTGCTCATTTTTAATCATAAATATGCATAAGAATTGATTTAAACCAGGAGGGGCCTCGTACCATCCTCGCCATGTTAGACTCTATATAGAGTGTCTGCGAGTTTTATAAGAGTAGGTAGTAAAATCTGCAGTATTTATAGTATGGAAGAAATGCCCCTGCTTGTAGATTGAAATTCGCTCCACATTTATTTCTATCAGATAGCCTGCTTAGCTTCCTGATTGACAAGATAAAGCTGATGGAGTCACATTAAGAATGTTTACTTCCTTCTGAAAGGTAAGCGAGCGTCCCATCCTTTACATTTTTTTTTTCATTTTAGCCAGGAATGTAGGCCTATAGGCCTTCAGTTTGGAACAATAATAATGACACATGGATTTGTCGAATATCTGAAGATAGATAGTGCTCACTGTGGTTCAACGTTGTTAAACTCAATATTATTGTCAAGTATCAGTTGCATGTTATTGCGGAAAAATGGTTTCGATCGAGGACATAGGGGTAATCTCCGACACGGGGCATTGGGGTTTGTAGAAAAAACCGGGTACCGGGTACTAAATCCTCCATGCTGGGTTCAAGTTTTGTACCCGGTACAATAATTCTTTGTTTTATATGGTTTCTTTATTGAAACTTTGTATAAGACACATCATATTATAGATGTGGTGCTATATATTGTAAAAATTTTAACTTTGTCCCAGATTTGCATCTGATACCAAGGGTTTGTCCGGGAATGCCCCGTGGCCGAGAATGCCCCTATCTCCTCATAGTAGGGGAAGTGGTCCTAATTATCGCACGGTCCGGGTTTGTCCTAGCAGGGTTATGAATTTTTTTATTTATAACGTTGGATCTGGACGATACATGTACGTTATTTTCGAAGTCACGTTTTGAGGTTATTTCATATCGTAAGAACGTTTTGACAACGTTAACTTTTAACGTTAAAATAACATCGGTAATGAACTGATTTAGTGAGAACACAAAGTCTTTGTCATGTTTTTTTCCACCAACAAATATTTTGATATTAAAAGCCTGATTTGATAACGTTGAATTTTGACGTTTGAGTTATGTCACATATGGACTATAATGTTGTAAAAAATCAAACGTTCCTGTTTGTTATGTTTTCCACACTAACGAACTTTACCGACACGTTACAACAACATTCTTTTTATACCATCAATAGATGTCTCATGTTTACGTTGCCTCGATGTGTAAAGAACGAAAATGTGCAACGTCTTCTAGGAACTTATATGCTACTCATAGCCATAGGCAGCGGGGGTTCGTTCGAACAGCGGGGGTTCGGTGGGTTCGAACGAACCCCCGGTCAGGATTTCCCAAAATATCATTTTACCGAAAAATGCATATAACCAGAATCATTAAATCACTGTGCTATTTGAAAACTACATATATGAGCAGTAAATGAATTGACATTTGTTATAGTGAACACGAGAGCCTTATTTTCTTTAAAACATGTCATAGTGAAGTTACAGTTCCCTCAAAACGTTTGGCACGTGGTGAGATTTAATTTTGGGAAGACCCAAGAGCATGATACTTTACATTAAGAAATAACAATAATTTCCCGGGGTACCTGTACCTCCTTCACGGAAATAAGGATATATCAACATGTATTATATATTTTGTCTTCAAATCTTCAAAATCGATAGATAATTGAATGATGAATCACTGGTAGGAAAATCAAAGGGATTGGTCTACTAAATATATGTGTAAAAAAGCGTCCATACTTATTGATCACCCCTCGTATGTTTAGCGAATAAATTATATAACTAGAGATCTAAGATTGCAAGCAATCTTACGGAGGCCCTATATTCGTTCGTCAGCACAAAATTTCCAATAAAATATTTAGCCTATATAAACAATAATAAAAACAAGAAAAATTTGTGTTCTTAGAAAGCTTTATTTTTATTGTTTCAGAATCAGATAAAGGATCCGTTACCTCATGTACCTAAAGGTGCCCCTAAAGGTTTCATTGAACATTACATGGAAATAGTTACTTTTATCAATTATGAACACATCCAAAACAAAATTAGGTCATAGGGATTAAAACTAAGGTCATTCAGTGCATTTAAGTTTGACTATGCAAAGCATTCTAAATATCATGTTAGGGGTATGTTAGTCTTCACTCATGACTATTTTAAGTATATTGACCATTCAATCAATCGATATATCAAAATATCATTAAGGTAAAGGGCAACATATTGAAAACATAAATCATAAAACAACCCCTAAAATGTAATAATATATCTATGAATCTTAATCTTGAAACTCAGCAAAAGTATCACCTCGGTTGGTATGCAGTAGGTTTAACCTAGGATATTCAATTTAGAGGACATATTAAACATCATTATCAAAGGTAGGACACAAAGGGTAACATATTGAAAACACAAAACCTAGGTATTCAACTCAAATATTAAAAATCCAGTTGTGACTTTCCAATATATGATATATTTATTATCCCATCGAACGAAGTTCGGAGGGATATAGAGAACGCCTCCGTCCGTCCGTACGTACGTCCGTCCGTCCGTACGTACGTCCGTCCGTCCGTCCGGGCAATAACTCAAATACCGTTGGCCTGATTTTGTTCATATTTTGTACACATATACCCTATGGGGGTAGAAGTTCTGCTCGAAAGCCGATTTTCAAAATGGCCGCTCATTTCAAAATGGCGGCCATTTTAGTGCCGAATTTACAGTATTTTAGGTGCAATATGTAAAACTGTAATAGCAATATGTTTTAGATGTAAAAAAATAATATAGAACATTAATAAAGCTAGAAATGTAGATATTTAAGAAGCACATGGCAGCCATCTTGAAAAATGGCGGCCTTTACTCGTTATTTTACGATTTTTGCTGTAACTCGAAAAGTAGTGGAGCGATTTTGTTCATATTTGGTATGTGAATACTATAAACATTGCACACTGTCTAAAGACACTTTTGGAAGAACGCGGCTATTTTGAAAAATGGCCGCCATTTTGAAAAATGGCCACCATTTTAACGTATTTTACTATAACTCGAAAAGTAGTGGAGCGATTTTGTTCATATTTGGTATGTGAATACTATAAGCATGACACACTGTCCTATGACACTTTTGGTAGAAGGCGGCCATTTTGAAAAAAATTTTGAAAAATGGCCGCCATTTTAACGCATTTTACTATAACTCGAAAAGTAGTGAAGTGATTTTGTTCATATTTGGTATGTGAATACTATAGGCATGGCACACTGTCTAATGACACTTTTGGTAGAAGGCGGCCATTTTTCAAAATGGCCACCATTTTAACGTATTTTACTATAACTCTAAAAGTAGTGGAACGATTTTGTTCATATTTGGTATCTGAATACTATAAGCATGACACACTGTCCTATGACACTTTTGAAAGGCGGCCATTTTGAAAAAAATTTGAAAAGGCGGTCATTTTTCAAAATGGCCCCCATTTTAACGTATTTTACTATTACTCGAAAAGTAGTGGAGCAATTTTGTTTATATTTGGTATGTAAATACTATAAACACGGCACACTGTCTTATGGCATTTTTTGGTAGAAGGTGGCCAGTTTGAAAAATGGCCGCCATTTTAACGTTTTTTTCTATAACTTGAAAAGTAGTGGAGCGATTTTGTTCATATTTGGTGTATGAATACTATAAGCATGGCACATGGTCTAATGACACTTTTGGTAGAAGGCGGCCATTTTGAAAAATGGCTGCCATTTTTGCTATATACTTTGTTTGTAAAAATGCCATCCATGGCTGTTCGATGGGATTCGCTACGCTTTGGCGTTGCCGTTGTTTTGGTTTGGCATTTTCAAAGAATAATTCAATTGAAGCTAAAGGTATAAAGTCAAATGGTTGCTTTTTAAAATTGAAAAGGTGCATGTAGGAGAGTTTTTTCGTCAGTTTGAAACCCATTGTTTTGCTATCAAACAAGTGGAGGTATTTTAATCTATCCATTGAATAACATATAATTGTTATGAAGTAAAATGTTTTAGTTTAACAAACTAGGGGGGTCTGGGGGCATGCCCCCCCCCCCCCCCACAAACCGTCTGTTAATTGTACTTAGTTTAAGATTTTGTTTAATGATAATTCAATTCAAAATTTGTATTTATTTAAAGTGAATTCAATTCTCTTTACAATGGTACAACAATCGAGGGGATCCCAGTTATAATATTTAAATGATTGGAAATATTCCATTGCTGGTCAAATACTCAGTTGTTGAGTTTACTATTCAATTAATTAGAATGGTAATGTTTTAAAGTAAAAATTCATTCACTGATAAGAATTCAAATAAGCTGAAAAAATATTGATGGATTCAGAATTAAATTAGCTTTTAGATACAGTTCATCTCCATTCTCCTACCTTACTCATTCCTATAAGTATGTCTTTTTAATTTTTATAACAGAGTAAAAATTCATCAAAAGTTAGCGAAACTGTACATCCGATGTATTTTGACCTATACCAGAGCTAACATTTCACTGTGGATTAATTATCCCACCGAACGAAGTTCGAGAGGGATATAGGAAAGCCGTCCGTCTGTCCGTCCGTCCGTCCGTGTGTCCGGGCGATAACTCAAATACCGGTTGACGGATTTGGTTCAAATTTTATAGGCTTATGCCTTATGAGTGTAGGACCTCTGCTCGAGAAGGAATTTTCAATATGGCCGCTCAATTCAAAATGGCCGCCATTTTTCATAAAAAATGTAATCGTTGATAACTCAAATAAAAATTGACAGATTTGGTTCAAATTTAATATGCTGATGCCTAGGGACAAAGGAGTTTCGCACAAAAAGAGATTTTCAAGATGGCCGCTTAATTTCAAAATGATGGCCATTTTTCGTTAAAAAACATAATCTTTGATAACTCAAATACCAGTGAACGGATTTGGTTCAAATTTTATATGATGATGCTTAGGGACACAGTAGCTATGTTTGACAAAAAATTTACAAAATGGCGACAATTTTTCGTAAAAAACGTAATCTTTGATAACTCAAATACCAGTGAACAGATTTGGTTGAAAGTTTATATGATTATGCCTTGGGACACAGTAGCTCTGTTCAAGAAATAATTTTCAAGATGGCGGCTGAATTTCAAGATGGCGGCCATTTTTCGTAAAAAAAACATAAAATTTTGATAACTCTAATACCAGCGAATGGATTTGTTTTAAATTTTATATGATAATACCTAGGGACACAGTTGCTCTGTTCAAGGAAGAATTTTCAAAATGGCAGCTGAATTTCAAAATGGTTGCCATTTTTAGTAAAAAAGAATGTAATCTTTGATAACTCAAATTTTAATTTATGGATATGGTTTACATTTTATATGTTGATGCTTAGGGACAAACAAGCTCTGCTCAAGAAGGAATTTTCAAGATGGTCACTAATAATCTAAATATGTTTTGTTCAGTGGGATTTGCTACTCCGTGGAGTTGCTGTTTTTCTAGTTTCAAACATTTTAATTTACAATTCACAATTCACGCATAGTTTTTTGGGGCACAATTAAGTCGAGAGCATATGCATACTGACTAGACAAAATTATGGCCCAAGTAAAAAAGAAATCTAATATACCACCAATACATCACCAAAAGATCACCAATACACCATGTAAAGTGATTTAGTCAAGTGGTTTGTAAGTTATGTATTAAAACTGGCAATACTCAACTAATAAACCACTCTAAGGTTTTTTAGGTGGAGTGGTTTGTAAGTAGTGTATTAACTCGATTTTTTCTGGAATGGTCTATTAGTAGTGTATTAAACTGATCCTTGATTTAGAATGAGAAACCCCTTTTAAATGGCGGAAATAGTTAAAATGTGAGATAATTCATTCTACAACGAAATGTAGCATTACAACCAGAAAGGTGACTGGATTTTATTGAATCTTGCTCAGCATAATCATAAAGGTATGTAGAAGATGTACATGTTAAATCTTATTCATATTTCTCACTGAATTTAGTACTATAGAGATTTTGTACCTTATGGATGTATAAAATTCGGAGATTTCGGGAGTGATTTGTTAGTAGTCTATTAGACTAGTAGTGGTGTATTAGTGGTGTATAAGACATTAGGGAGTGATGTATTAGTGGTCTCTTAGTAATACTTGAGACTTCAGGAGTGATCTATTAGTAGTGTATTACATGCTCTCTGATTGGTCAATAATTTTTATATCATTTGCATGGTAATTTTTTCAACTAATAAACCACCTGTTAAGTCAAGGGCAAAAAGTGGTCTGTTAATGAAAATCACCACTAACAAATCACTAATACAATATTTACTCACTTGGGGGTAGACAAAAAAAACATTTTGGCGAGAGTGTTTCAAATGTTTCTGGACAAAGGCTACAGTGAAAAGATCCTTATTTGCCAGACTGATATTTGCAATTCAAATTGACCACAGTGTACTTCAATAATATGTGCTTCAATTCCATTACATTAATTTTCAGAGCACCTGTTGCACTTACTGGCAATTATACTGGAGTACTGTTTGACCTAGGTCTTTAGGGGATAACTTAACTTTAGTCCTCAACAATGGATGTCATCATGCTAGATTCATCAGAATCTAGTAATTCACGGGGTTCAAGAGGTGAAGATCTACTTGAAGATGATGAAGAGGAAGAAATAAAGGTACCACATCATACATAATTTTATACAAGAACCATTGTATCCCTAAGTACATCTGTATCACTGGTCCCCTCCTGGCTGTGGCCATGAGGATATCACTTCCTTATAACAAAATTACTAAATACAGTAACCCAGATGCTAGTAGGTAGTTACCAGTTCCACCACCAGGTGGCTAATACGGGGTAGATAACAATTGGCAGTATTGTTTTGGTTTATATCACAACCTAATAAGGTGTGTATTAAAGATTATAACACCCCCTTTCCTGTTTGACACCCCCTCTGTAACATCCTCATCCTTTGTGACAGTGACACCCTTTCTTTTTGTCACCAACTCCTGTAACACCCCTCTGTAACACAGTCCTCTTGATTGACACCCCCCTCTGTGACAATGTCCCCTCCTGTGACACCCTTTCTTTATGTCAACAACTCCAGTAACACCACCCTGTAACACCATCCATTTGATTGACACACCCTCCCTCTGTTGCATCCTCCCCTCCTGTGACACCCTTTCTTTTTGTCATCAACCCCTGTAACATCCCCCGTCCCCTTGTCTGTAACATCCCCTTCTGGGATACCTTTTTTGTCAAATTGACCAATTTTTTTTTCAAAATCATCTACAAGTTGTCAAAAGTTCAAATCTGACTATAGATTTGACCTTAAATGACATTCTCAAGGTCAAAAAAGATTTGACCTTCAATGACATTCTCAAGGTCAACAAGACACACAGTGATAAATATCGCACTTTGAAGAGCAAACTGGCCACCATGCAATTTACCCAGCATGGCCAAAACCTAATCAGACCTTGGCACTAGTCTGCTCTTGCATCTGTAAACATTTCAAGTTGACAAGGTTAGCGGTTTTCCTGCAATTTTGATGACAAGAATTTATTTGTAGTCTTGAACTTTGGAAAATTTAGATAACATTATTTGTGACCTAATTTGATGACCTTTGACCTTGAAAATTTCACTTTTTCAGACCTCAGTAGGTGTTTTGTAATTAAGCTGACCTAAATTTAAATCCAAAATATCAATTTAGAAAATCAACTTTTTGACCTTTTCAAGGTCACTGAAGGTGAAAGAAAGGTCAAATCTGAAATCTAAGGTCAGATTTGAACTTCTGAGAACTTGTAGATGTTTTTAAAAAAAAATTTGGTCAATTTGGAGCAAGTTGAAAATTCAAAATGGCCGCCAAATTGAAAAATTCAAAATGGCCACCATGTAATTCAGCCAGCATACCCAAAACCTAATCAGATCTTGGCAATAGTCTGCTCTTGCATCTGTAAAAATTTCAAGTTGAACGGATAAGTGGTTTTCCTGGAATTTTGATGACAAGATTTGTTGAAAAATTCAAAATGGCCGCCACCTAGTTTACCCAGCATGCCCTAAACCTAATCAGATCTTGCCACTAGTCTGCTATTGCATGTGTAAAAATGTCAAGTTGAACAGGTTAGCGGTTTTCTTGGAATTTTGATGACCAGAATTGATTTGTAGTCTCAAACTTTGAGAAATTGGATAACATCATTTGTGACCTAGTTTAATGACCTTGACCTTCGACCTTGAAAATTTCACTTTTTCAGACCTCAGTAGGTGTTTTGTAATTAAGCTGACCTAAATTTAAATCCAAAATATCAATTTAGAAAATCAACTTTTTTGACCTTTTCAAGGTCACTGAAGGTGAACGAAAGGTCAAATCTGAAATCTAAGGTCAGATTTGAACTTCTGAGAACTTGTAGATGTTTTTTAAAAAAAAATTTGGTCAATTTGGAGCAAGTTGACAAATTCAAATGAATAGGCGCAGTGCACGCTTCTAAGATATGAGATCTATTAAAAAGGCGCATCATTGCTATAAATCAGGCAACAATGGTCTACACGACCTGTAAAAATAGGTATAAGGGACGTTATAATCACAACACTAATCACATTGCTCACTTTTTAAAGTTAGTTTCCATGCGTTATACAAAAAATGATCGAAATAGATTAATATTGGATGGAGTCTCCATATAATATTGGAGAGCAGTCTCCTGGGCTAATTATTTTTTTATGAAAAATAAAGAAATATCACCCAAATCAAATTATGAATGTTCAAAAGAGGACATTTAAGTCTACAAGATGTAAAAATATCAAAATTGTCCGAAGCAGGGGTAACGTGCAGTAGACTGATTCATTTTGGAGAAAGAAGTTCATCAGTGTACTGCGCTAATAATTTTTTGTGAAAAATCTAAATATATGACCCAAATTATATTATGACTATTCAAAAGAAGACATTCAAATCTGTAATATGTAAAAAATCACATTTGTCCGAAGCAGGGATAACGTTCAACTAGAGTGATGAACTTTGTTCTCCAAACCGAGAATAGTCCTTCCCATATTTAAATGAAGGACCCACGGTCCTATGCTCACACAGTTTGGAACCTTCAGAGGAATTTATATCCTGACTTTCAAACAAAAATATTGATTTGGGTTTGTAGTTTCAAACTTTGAGAAACTTAGACAGCATAGTTGTGTGACCTAGTTTGATGACCTTTGACCTTGAAAATTTTACTTATTCAGAGCTCAGTAAGGTCTTTTGTGATTAAGCTGACCAAAATTTACATCCAAAAATCAATTTGAAAAATCAACTTTTTTGACCTTTCGAAGGTCACTGAAGGTCAAGTAAAGGTCAAATCCTAAAACTAATGTCATATTTGAACTTCTGGCAACTTGTAGATGATTTAAAAAAAAAATTTGGTCAAATTGAAGCAAGTTGAAAAATAACTTATTTTTACTGTTTTTTGACGTCAAATATCTCAAAAACGGTAAAAAGTTGATGCTGACATATATTGAGAAATAAGTAGGGAATGCTTAAATCTATTAATGATGTAATTTATTGCAGGAAATGATCAAGTATAAGGCAAACTTAAAGAAGCTTGTCAATCACAAAACCTGCCATTGACTTTATACATGAGAAAGTTTCCTAAAGTCCTACTTTTTATCAAATTTTATAAAGTAAACACCAAAAACTGTAATTCCAAGAGCTTTGAAATCTTCAGAGGACATAAGTTGCATATACACCAACTACTAAAAGTTATTTGAAAGTTCTACTTCAACAAAGTGTCTAGTATTTACAGAAAATTTGACTTTTTGATGTCAAAATCTGCAATTTCTCGGAAACCGGGCTAACTTGGGAAATGGCGATGATAGGTCAAATAGGCATTATGGATATGCATAAAATGAATGTGGGTACGACTCAATCGGAATAGAAGTTTTAATTTGTGCGGCCAATGTTGACAGACGGACGGACCAACGGACGGACGGACGGACGTCATTTGTTGTTGCTGCATTGGTTTCTTCATTCATTTTCTTCTTTCTTTGTCTTGATTTGATTGCGATGTTACTTATCTTTCTTCAGGGTCCACAGACTTGAGACTGCGCATAGGTGGGTTAAACGTTTTGATCCGGCCGGAAAACTCTCCCCTTCCCCTTACTGTTGGTCTTATGCTGATTTGTCATCTTAGTTTACCCTCTTTGCGGAGAAGATACTGTTTCATATTCATTTGTTAATGTTCTCTTCTCTCATTAATTTTCCAGTCCTTCATGATGATATTCTCCTGCATATTGTATTTAGTACATATCCATTTATTTCTTGTTATAGCTTTCTTAGTATACGAATTTAGTATGTTGCTTCTGTAGCCTTGACATTGTAGTTTATTTCCCAGGCTGGTAACTCTGTTTGTTGCATCTTCCAGTTGACTGCAGATTCTTGAAATCCTTATTATTTGTGATATAAATATTCCATAAGATTGGTTTCTAGGAATATTTCCAGATAGATCAGGATATGAGACTATTTGGAAATTGAAGTTTTCCCTTTTGTCGTATAGTTTTGTAGTGATTTGTTTATTTACTATTTTCATTTGTATGTCCAGAAAAATTGTTTCTGTATCCTTCTCATTTTCCTTGTTTAACACTAGTTCTTCAGGATAGATGTTCTTCATATCAGTCTCCATTTCTCCGTCGTTGTTTATAGTACATAAATCATCGATGAATCTTGTAGTTTTAGCATATTTTAGTACTTTGGAGTAGTCTTCCCTATACATTTTCTCAATGGCTTGAAATTCATAACTGTATAAGTATAGGTTTGCCATATATGGCGCCGGATCGATTCCCATCGGTATTCCAATTTTCTGTCTTAGAATTGATTTCCCTGCTTTAAAGTAGGCTGTATCCACGATGAAATCCACTAGATCATTGCACTCTCCTTTGGTATATGCCTTTTTATTATCCACCTTTCCACCCCATTTGGCTTCATCTCCACCTACTGTTATCTTTTGGTTAGTTCCTCCTCTGAAGGCTTTATCTATCACCCATTTCAGTTTTTCCTTTATGTCAGTTAGATTGGACCAACGAACGGACCATCGGACGGACCAATGGACGGACGCCTGGTCGATCCCATAGGCTCACTGTGTGAGCCAATAAATAGCACCATGGGTACTGGGGTCACATGGTGTTGCTTAAAAGTGAATGATGGCTAAAATGGCTGAAAAAATGGATGTAATTTTTGCCGATTTTTTGTAACAAAATTATTTCATACAACTACTCTTTAGAGTGACTTGGCTTTTTACAATGCAGGACACCTGAAATTATTTGTAAAGCTAGTATATGGGCCACAAGTAAATTTCGCAAGACAAAAATGGCGACCGTTTTGAAATTAGGCGAGCCTTTGAACCAGCAGTCATAGGGGAGTTTTCTGTATTGATGTTGAACAAAAATAACTTAAAACAGGAATCCTATTGACAGAGGTTTTACGGCAAATGGTCCAAAAGTGGATTTCATGAGACATATGGACAAAAAAAAGCAGATATAAATTTTTGCCGATTTTTTGTAACAAAATTATTTTATACAACTAATCTTTACAGTGACATTGGTTTTTACAATGCAGGACACCTGAAATTATTTGTAAAGCTAGGAAATGAGCCAAAAGTGAATTCTGCAAGACAAAAATGGTAACCATTTTGAAAATAGGCGAGC